TTAAGGAGTAACCAGATGCCTTGGAGCCAACTTGAAATTTTTATGGATAGCAGATATACTGGATGGGATACCTCATTGTTTCTTCTCAGATGGCTTGCAGCATCAGGGTTTTGTATTTTACCTGTTGTGAATAAGCCTCAGTTTAGCATGAGTGTTCATAAACTTTGTGGGGAGGACTTCCACTAGTCATCCCGGGAAAGGTATGACAGCATTTGTGGTCAGGGCTCCAACAGGCTGGATGCTGCGATGAACCCTTAACCATTGTTCAAATGTTGCCCATTTGACTCGGTTTCTTGCCTCAGTATTCCCTAACCCGGCAACCGAGTTTTAGTTAATCAAGTTTAAATAGGCCTCCCATAGCGGGACTGGGGAATGTATGGCCCAAGATGCCTAGTAAACCTTTCTTCTGCTTAGTTCTGGTTAGATGAGGTGTGTGTGTGGGGGGAAATAGAAAAAGTCCATTATAAGTCGAGCAAGCTGGGTGCCAGGCCTCCGTCAGGAAGACAGGGCTGACAGGTAACACCCCCCCAATCATGATGGCAGAGTGGGGGATGGAGTATAAGGATTTCCCAGCCTCTTATTCCGCAATCGTGATCTGGGAGCAGGCTGCTTGGAGCTCCCTACTGCTGGGGAAGGGACACATAGTCCCCACCCAGGCTCCTATAGCAGAGCCTGCCCCAGCAGCAGGCAGCTCCCAGGGGCAGGGAGCTATCTCCCGCCCCCTGGTGGGCAGCTGGCTGGGAGCAGATTTGGCTCCCAGCCAGCCATCTACATGAGCACTAATGCCAAGTAAATTTGCTACTTGCATTTGCAGGTAGCAAATTTATTCAGGATTAGAGAGATTTACTGTGAAGTAAGCATGTGCACATGGAGACCCACATGTTTACTCACAGTAAACTATGCTAATTCGCTGCTAAGCATCTTGTGTAGATGTACCCACTTTGGTGCCAGGGTGCAGTGTGTGGTTTCTTCTACTTCCCTCACACATTCCTACAAGGGCCAGCCACATCCTGGCTCAGCCCTTACTTAGGACCAGTAAGTACTCAGCTTATGTGAAATTCCTCATCAGTTGCTACGTGATCCTGTTTTCCCAGGCAGCTGCTTTGGTTTTCTATCAACAAACAACTCTGGATTGATTTTAGTGCCACTTCCTGATTAACAAAATAATCAGGGAATACTGGGTAGTGTGTGCTGATTGTAAGTTCATATGCAATTTGTACTGGGCACGTTCAGAAGAGAGAGATGAACTGAAAGAACTACAGTGTATGAAGAGGTGGTTTGCCACTTAAAGCACTAGCCATCCACGTTTAGGAGATGTCTAAGATCGAGACATCACTAACAGTAAAGTAACTGGTTTCATCTTATGATACTGCTGAGGAAAATGCTCCACAAAATACCTGTACTTCAAGCACATCATTCTGACGTAATGTAGTAAGAAACTCCAGTTTTTGTTTGGTTTTCATTTATCATCTGAATTTCGCAGAGGTCTTTTTAGAAAGAATTACAGTAAAAGTGTCAACTAATTGATAGTGTATATTGTAAATCTGCATGTCATGTGAGTGTTTTTGTTATAAATATAGTGTACAAACATCTGGAGATATTATCATAATTATTTCATATCTACTTCTCTCTAGGAACAGGACCATTTTGTTTTACTTTAATATTCTGAAATGTGCCAGCCCGATAGTTCTAATTAACCTACAGTGCCCTACAACACAGGTAAGTGAAGTACAGAGAAAATGTTCTCCCTACCATTTGGTATGGATAGTTTATAGAAATGTATTGATTTACTATTTGCATTTTGTAGAATATAAAATAATCCTATAGTCTAGGTATAGCACAGTGTACACAATTCCTGATGACCAGGAGGAAATACAGGAAGGAATAGGATTGAGTGTTTTGGATGTAGAGTGGAAGAAATTCCCAAGATAAGCTAGGTCAGGTCTACCTAACTGTCAGTCATAATCTAGTACAGTAAAAGTTCTGTTATCTGGCATTTTACAAGCCAGCATGCTCCACTAACCGGCATGCCAACTTGTAAGAGAAAGTGAAACCGGAAGTGCCCACCATGGCACTTATGGTTTCTCTGAGCCCCCATGGCCCGGGGCAAAGCAGCCTGCGCTGCCCAGCCCCCACAGCCCGGGGGCATAACAGGCTGTGTGGGGCCTGCCTCCCTGTCCCACAGGGCCTGTGGGAGGGGCAGTAATGCCATGGGAGGGGCGGAGGGACACCCCAGACATGGCGACGTGAGAAGCGGCGGCCAGGGCGACTCAATTAACTGACATATTTTATTTTCCAGCATCCCCTATTCCTGGGGGATGCTAGATAGCACAGCTATTGCTGTACAAGGAACTGTGTAGCCATATAGTTTTTGCAGAAAACAGTTCGGACAGGCAACTGGATTTTTCTAAACTCATCCCTTTTTAACCAGAACACATTCCCTTGCTTACAACCAGCAGCAGGGTTTGTTGGTCCAGGCAGATCACATGCATTGTGTTCTGAGGAGCTACAAGTAATCAATACAGTTGCTTAATTTTGGGTGACCTTTTAGATTGGCTAATCACTTGTTGATTGGTGGATAATCAGTCTCCACTTTAGAGTGGAGGTTATGTTGTGCTATGCAGATAGAGAATAATACAGCGCTGTATGAATTTGCTGGTGTCTTAAATTATGCTCTATGGCCACATCTGCATGGAAAACTTAGGCCGATCAGGGGCGCAGACCTGAGAAACAGTGACATTTCCAGCAGGGGATGTGGCAGTGGACAGCTATCTTTCTCTTCTCCTTTGCTGCTGCAGTCTCAATCAAATGCTGAATCTCCATCCTCTATTACAGACCAGTTTTTCTTCTTGCAGTTGAGTTGAGATGTACCTCCCCTTCTACCCACCAGATGTGATCGGGATTGGGGTGTAGGCTGGGAAACTGTTTCCCAGCCCCTGCACTGATCAGCAGATTGGGGCACAGGACTGGGAAACTGTCCTTGCTTGCAGCAGCTGTTTCCCAGCAGTTTTCCCAGCTGCTCTTCTAGAGGACAGTTTCTCAGCCCTGCTCCCCGATCTACTGATTGGAGTGTGCGGCTGGGAAATGACTGCTTGGGGCTGGGAAACAGCTGGTGTTCCCAAAACTCTGAAGGCAGAAGCAGTGAGGAGCCTGATCCTTTTTTTTGGCAGAGTCTGCCCACTTCTCCCATGGCCAGAGAGCAAGCTGCCAGTGGGATGAACAGCTCCTGAGCTGCAGGGGGCCCTGGTCCTTCCCTCCATGGCAGCAGGGCCCCCTAGGCAGGCTGCTAGCGGGCCAGGTCCTGCCCCAGCTTGGGGTCAGGGAAGAGTTGGATTGGGCTGGGTGCTGCCTCCAAGCTGGGGCAGGACCCAGCCCTCTAGCAGCCTGCCCGGGTGGCCCCGGGGGGCACTGCTGCTGCAGAGGGAGGGGATCCCCACAGCTCAGGGCTCGCTTGGCCCCTGAGGGCCAGTTCCTCCACCCCCTGCTGCCTGAGCTGACTGGGACCAATTAATCTACTGCACAGTAAATGCTGTGCACGTGTAGACAGTGACACTTTACTATGCAGTAGATTAGTCTACTGGAAAATAAAGCATCTCGTGTAGATGTGCCCACTGTAAATCAAGCAAAGTGAAATAGGCACAAACAGTAGGTTGTTCTTAGTAATATCTATTTTTAAGTATAAAACATCTCCCTCAACCTGAAGGAACATTTTCTCTCCGTTCAAGAATTTGACAGGATCGATTTGGATGCTGTCTTGTCCTGGTTGTTAACTCTCTGGCTGTATAGGATAATGATACAGAACCATCTGTTGCTTTATGGCTTGCTCTTTAAATGAAAGAGGAAGCTGTGTTTTTTCTTTACACTCCTTTCCCCTTCCATGGTCTCTGCAGAGGGTTGTGAGTTAGAAGAGCCAAAGATCTAGTCTCCATTAGTAAAACTATGGCTTTATAAACAGGTGTAGCACATTTCACAGCCTGATTTCATAACTGAAGATACAATAACAAATGTGCTCAGAGTAGCTGATTTTTCTGAACTAGGGTAAAATTAAATTGTCTTGAGTCCCAGCCTAATGGCTAATCCACCAGACAGTGGCACTGACACCAATAAATTATTTTGTGGCATTCAGCCTCTCCTGTAGATTAGCACGATATCTCAGTCTGGACATTCCTTCAAGTGTTAATAATGTGAAAGAATTACTGAGAACTCTTGTGCAGCCTACCTTGGAGGTAACATTTCACTCATTTGTATAGCATCCCTCTAAAAGGAGGGGTCTGAATTGTATAGCTTTGCAGGGCATACAAAGTTTCTCAGTTTTTTTGGTGCCAAAGAGTTGCGCTTCAAGCTGAATCAGATCAGGCCAGAACTCAGAAGTACAGAGGTGGTGGAGGGGAATAATGGTTATATTGATCCAGTGAATAAGACCTTGTACTAAGTGTTTTCAAAGGCAGCCTACTTGTGGATATATTCAGTCATTCCCAATCCTCACTTAGCTTCTTATGCTAATCTTGCTTATTCTGGCTTGATCTGGGGAGGTGTGAATTTTACTGCTGACGTACACCCACCCAGTTTATTTTGAAACCGGTGGGAGTTCTGTAATGGATAAATGGCAATATAATGACCTTAATCTGGTTCACCTAACTATAGAGTGATATATGCCTAACTTAACTTGGACAGTATCATGGAAAGTGGATTTGATTGAAGATATTTTATAGGAAAAGGGTGAAGTAGTTTTAGCTGCATCAGATTTTATTGATCAGAGTTATATAACTGCAGTAGATAAAAATGCTGCGTTTTGTGAAACCAGCTACTGCCCCAATGTGATCCTATACAGGGCTGCTTGTGCAGAGTGAATCTAAAGCAGATGATATTTTTTCACATATTTTCACTTAAAAGTTAAAAAGAAAAATGAAACCAAAACCAAGCAAATAAAAAACTTCTTTAAATTTTACATGTCTACCAGAATGTGTGGAATCTAACAAGACATATGGAGCAGTTGAGAGATACAGTACATGGGGAGCCATTTGAAATTGTCTTTTATCAAAAGGTTTAAAAAGTGTTTATCTACAGTTTCTAAAGAAAAAAAAATGACCGTGTCCCTTTCTAAATGCTACAGTAAGCATTTCTCCAAGCAGTCTGATCAAATGGAGCACTTATATAGATGGGCATTTTTTGTCTTTGTGTTTTGATTGCATGAATCTTCTTGTTCTTCCAATGTATCACAGTGCATTTTTTTCTTCCCTTACAGCTTTGTGTCTCAAAGTGCCCAGATAGGTTTGCAACCTACATAGACATGCAGGCTTCCTACAGATATAAACCTGATCAGTGGAATTACTACAGACAATTCTGCAAACCTGGTTTTAATAATCCTTGGAAGGTATGAATATAAACATGATGGATTCTTCTTTGAATCATAGAACTGTAGAATCATAGGATCAAAGGGGACCTGAAGGATCAACTTCTTGCACAGCAGAAGAGTGTGCTAATCCTAAACCATCGCAGATAAATAGCTATCCATACCTTTTCAATATATATAACAGGAATTATCCTTAGTGGGTGTCAGCATAGCTCCATCAAATCAGTGAAATAGGCCAATTTTCACCAGTTGGGAATGGTTCCCTATGTGGCTTAGGGATTTGTCAGCAATCAAACACATAACATTGTCAAATCTTTCAGTGTTTGCAGAAGGCTCAGGTTAATGGGAAATACCTGCAGCTTCCCATATTATGGATGTTGGTGATATGGAAGCCGAGTTTATCCATTAGGTAGGTTTAATTTGCAGTGGTGCACAGGAGATCAGGAGACCTTAGACTTCTACTAATTAGCTTTTTTTTACCTGGGGAGGGAGCGTTTCTCTCTAAATCAGCAGGCATATGAGTAAGTCTTTTGCAGCTTCTTGTTTAATATTTTATTGAGCAACATGACTGCGTCTGTTGGGTAAAGTGACTGATTTGAAATAACATAGTTTTGCATTCAAACATATGTTAATGTTCTTCCTACATTAAGAACACCTTGCAAGTCTGACATCAGCCTCAAGTTAATTGGTCTAAAGATAATTTTCTTCTTTGAGAAAGAAACGGGCAAAAACACCTGCCCAAACACCCCGGTTGAGATATAGGTCTGATGCTATAGGGTTTTTTTCTGTTAGTGTCATTAGAAAAGGCAGGAGAATAGTCTATTCCTAATTTACAATCCTGCAGGGATGCCTGGGACTTTGCTTTCATCATATGGGTGTCTGGCAGATGTGCTAATCAAATAATGCCAAGAGGTCAAGAAGCAATTTGGGACATTTTCTTGATTTTTAATAGTCCCAAAGCTTTTAGTCTTTAATAGTCCCAAGACTGAGTAGCATTTAGTGTTTTCATCAAGCCCTTTCTGTTTTTCCCTTTGTCTAGTCTGTTGTCCAAGTTATACGTGATGAAGACTGTCCTTCGATGATCATTCCAAGCAGACCTTGTGAGTGGTTATACTTTTCAAGTTCATTTCAGCAGTGTTGGCATTCACGTGAAAGCACAGTTCTGCTCTGGAAGTGACTCTGATGGTGTCATGAACAGGACTCTGTGTTGTCTGTCAGACACTTCTAGATCATTTTTTGACCGTCTAAATGCATATAGATAGTTTCTAGCTGCCAGCCATGAACATTCAGCGTGGGATCAGGTCAAGCCAGCTTTTCCTGGTTTATGAATCATTGTCAATAATGAGGACTCTGCAGACCAAATCATGCCTTCTGAAACAAGTGGCTAAGGAACCCCCTTATTTTCATTGACTGGCAGGGCGGTGGTGAGGCCATACTAGGATTGCCAGCCTCTCAGTGGTTTTTTATTGACAATCTGCAATCTTTTTACTGATAACCAAACTTTTTTACTGACATATTTTTACTGACGTACATTTTTCCTAATGTAAGTGTAACCCTTTTGCCAGGCCCTGTACAAGGGCCAGATTCAAATTTAGGGGTTTAACACCAGCCATAGAAAAATGTTTGGTTTTCAGTGAAAAGTTTGCAGATTGCAGATTTTACGCAATGCTGTCTACACCCCAGGGGCTTCCTACTTACTCCTACATCCTGATACTCCCAAGTGCACCCTGCACCATGGTTCCCCTCCCCCCTAGACTTAGCCCTGCCAAGCTATTCCTCCACCCCAGCATGAACCCCCACCCACCACCCCACAGGTTGTCTGAGCTGCACAACCCCTCCCCATCCTGCCTGGACTATGCGCCCCTACCTACCTGCAACCCAACAGTATTGCAAGCAGGGACCAGATGTAGCATGGTGTAACAACCTTCAGGTTCTCTGCAGGTTAGAACAAATGTTGTACTGGATTTGGAGGGTGTTACTAGGAAGCTCCAGGTTGTTACAGATGGGAAAGAGAGGGCTACAGAGACTCACACTGGCAACAAAAACCTGAAAGAGCTTCATGCAGGATGCTGCACCTTCATTCGGACACTAGGTAGTGCTGCTTCAACGTCCAGCTTTGTTCATGAAGCTTCACATGGATCACAGGGCGCTTCAAACAAGGCTCTTAGTATTTTTATGGACAATTCATTTTTTGCATAGACTTTATGGACAGGCATTTTGTCTTGTTTATGGACCATCCATAAATTTATGGGCAGCTGGCAACCATGGGTAAGGGCATGTACTTGGGGTTCAGATGATACTTAATGCCACTTAGGATCTGACCTGTTTTCCTATAGCCGTGCTGGCCCTGCATGACTCATAAAAAGGGGCAAGAGATTTTTTTTTCACTAAAGTCAGATGTCCTCAAATACAGACCCAGAGGTCCACATGCTGGTTCTAGGTTCAGGAATCTAGTTCGAGAATCCTGTTATCGGTCCAAAGAGCAGTGGTAAAGTAAGACAGTGCTGCCTCATGCTAGAGTTGAAACACTGAGGCACAGTTTCCAGGTAAGAAGAGAAATCAATTATGTTATATCTACCCTGCTAAACAGCAGAGACCTGTCAGAAAAACAGATCAGAGAACTTTTATAAATATATATTATTTTAAAATTTGATTTTGATTACAGCTGGTTTACTGTTGCTTGTGAGAGAATTTGGTTTGTAAATAGTCACCATTGATTTAGAGTGTAGCAGAGGAAATGGGGTGTCCAGGGAAGAGAAAGGTGGAAGGCAGAAAATCCTTTTCAAGAATGAACCCAGAGCTGTGCAGCTGGCAGCCCATAGGCCCTCTGCAGCCCACAAGGAGTTAGCATGTGGCCCTCACCCAGCCACTGCTCCCCCACCACTGCTCTGGCTGTTAGCAGCAGCAGATGAGGTCTCTGGGCTCTCCATCCCCCACCACTGCCCACCTTTCACTTCTTGCACCCATCCCAGGGCACGCAGCAGTGTGATGCAGCACAGTACAGTGCTAGAGGGGCTGCCTGTGAGTGGGGAGGCAAGGCATGTGGCCACGTGGTGTGGTGCAGTAACCAGGGCTGGGATGCCTACAAGGTGCAGTGCAGCAGTGGGCAATGAGGGTGCCCATGCAATGCAGTGCAGAGCAGCAGCCAGGGGTGAGGGAGGGCATGCAATACTGGTGTGCTACACAGTGAACCTGTACATCGTTGCAGAGACTTAGCAGCTGAATATCATGGCAGGGATTTAGCTTCACTAGTTCTTGATGACCAATGCTCCCTAAATCTAACCCTGCAGACCCTAGGTTCTTCTTTGGACACTGGCACCTAGGTGCCAGATTTAGGAAAAGGTAGTAGTATTATTTTAAACCTGTGGAATGATGATGGAGTAATTCATTTATATTGCAATAGCACCTCGGGGCACCAGTCATCGGCTAGAACTCCACTGTGCTCCATATTGCACGCACACAGAACAACAAGGCTCCTGCCCCAGACGTCTTACACAGTATCATCCTGAATAGATTGTCATGCAAAATCAGGACTGTAAATGACCAAGTGCTCACTATCTCTCTGATAAGATCTATACAGTTAAGCAAGAATTTGAATGTAAGAATAAAATGGAATGTGATATTAAATCAATATAGATCAGTAGCCAAATTGTCCTTGTTTGTGACAGTTCTGAAGAGATGCTTTCCTGACTTCTCCACAAAGAATGGCGTTCTGACTGTAGCGAATCAGACCACATTCAAGGATGGAAGGCGAAAAACAAGAAATGTGACTGATCTCAGGGAAGCTGCAAAGTAGGTTTCACCTCCCTACTGCCCTTTTATTTTGCAATCTCTTTTGCTCATGTTCCAAGTCTGTGAATCAATGTATAAATAGAAAAGAAATCAAAGTAAGTTGTAGCAAAGAGCTGAAATTAACCAAGCGAAACATTGTACTGAAGCAGTAAATTTCTTCTTGAGTGCCTTTTAAAATATGAGGCCAGGAAACCACCAAAGAATTTATGTGCGCGCGCGCACACACACACACACACACACACTCTCTCTCTCTCTCTCTCTCTCTCTCTCTCTCTCTCTC